TCCGCCAAATAGTGCGAGGGAATCTTGGATTTTGTTTCTTTCTCCTTTTATTTTATTTTTAGCTCAACAATACATAACATGTATGATCTCGCGTAATGGTACATCAGCCATAGTATTTATCGCAGTATCGGAAAATGGTAATCACGCGCACACAGTGGTAACATATATTGAGTATAAGTAGAAAAAAAAGGGGGGTGAGGGAGAAAAAGTTTGGATTCGACAAAATTATTAATCGTCAAGAGAAGTCACCCAAGACACGACATGGCGACACAAGCGAAAGGTCAGAGAAAACTTGACCACAGGGGGTAAGCAATACTATGGATGATACGTGTACGTACGTGGAGAAGAGAGGGTATAAATACAAATAAGTGTATACGTACAAGGGGGAAAAAATAGAAATATCGCGATGTCCTCTCTCTCTCTCTCTCTCTAGGGTATATATATATATACATGTCACATGCACGTGTTACATAAACATCGGACTTACGTGGCCCAAGCGAGTTGGTCCGTGCAGTGATGTATGTACGTAAAGGTGCTCTATATTGAGGTAAAGGGAGGTTTTCGCGGGAAAGAGAAAGCAAGACAGATCGTCAGAAAATGCCCTCCCCTCCTCTGCGAGGCTATAATATCATACGTTACATATATCGAGGTCACACACGATGTAAGTGTGTATACGTATACGCGTACGTGCGATAAGTTCATTTCCATTGCAACGCGCAAGACGGGCTTTAGTTTTTTTTAATTTTTCAGCTTCGGATCAACGATTAATCGGCCTATCTTTCCTTAGCTTGTAATCACGAGCACATATGTATATTTAATGGACGGCATCGTTTTTTTTTTTTTTTTTTTTTTCTTTTAATTCAATGCGTTGTTACTTACCGTGTAACCTTGCCGATATTCGCGTTTCACATCGAACCTAACGGAACCTAAGCATCTTTCGCGTACAGATGTGCCACGTAAAAATAATATACATATACATATATATAAGTGCAGTACTGCATACCCCCGAGGACTGATTTAGAATATCGAACCCCCATGCGCATCGCCTTCTTCTTCGAGTTTTTAGTCACACGTGTGTCATACAAGGAAAGAAAAGAAAAGTCGATTGGGCAAGCCTCTTGACTCAGCGCTCCGAATCACGCTCCTGCGAAATCGATACGTACATACACATGCAGGATATATATGTATATATACACAATGTAACACCCGAGCAATGTAATAGTCCCGGGAACAGAAGAGAATCGGAGGAGAGACAAAAGGAGCACTACTACTGACTTATGTATATCAGCTCTGTCGCATTCGTTGCCCGATGATGATGATGATCGTATAAAATGACGATGTAGCACTGCACCGTCGGCCGATCTGGATAAAAAGACGTGGTGTTTGTAAACAATGCAAGTATAAAAACAAAAAAAAACAAAAACACGGGGAGCCAGGACAGAGAGGGTTTTAATTGATTAAAGAGGCGAGGGGGGACCGGTATATATGGTGCAACTTCTGGGCTTATAATGTATAAGGGGGCACGCGACGATTCTCGGAATGAGATATGAGCGTACACGTGTATACGGAACAAACGGGTTATATTAAATTTGTGTATCCGCGATACGCCTAGGTACCTGATGTCCCAATGCGCTTCGGGGATGGTGGCAAGGGGGGGAGGGCGAATTTCTGGTTTTACGCGGACAAGGGCACTTGTGTCCCCGCCATCCATGGACCGGATTCTTCGCTGGTCTCGTTTTGATGGAATCGTCGCAGTCGTCACACGTGTAATTATTGCAGGGAGGTCGACTCGGAAGGAACTTAACAAAAACGGGTTGTTTAACAACATCATTAACGATCCCCTACTCGCCCTAGATGCTCGATGATCAGTTTTTCTTTATTTATTTTTTTTTATCAATAGTCACGCACTTTCACGACCACGTATAGATATTTACGTTTAACAGCAATCTACCGTATACCTATTGTCCAGAGTTTGGTTGTTAAATAACACAAGGTACACACGTTTGTATCTTTGGCAGAGCGAGGCGGAAAAAAGTTTCTAGATCTTCATGTATTTAAAATTGGGGAGGGGGGGGCAGGGAGGTCAGCTTTTCCGAAGCCACGCCTTTTTCGCACCAAATTGTACAAGCCGGAGGAAAATCATCGGGTCTGTTACGCATCTACATACATTGTGTAAATCCCCCAAAGTTTTCGTAAAACATGTACATATTGTAAGCTAGCGAGTATATACTATTATATATAAGCTGTCCTTATCTCTTTGAGCGTGATTATTTGTCTTGTCGCTCTGCGGCAATTATTTGGCGTGTGTGGCGAAGAGATGGCAGATCATCTCGCGTTATCGCTCGTTATTTGCATTTTCACGCGTATATAGCTAAAAATAATTAATCGGAGATACGGTGATCGACTTGATTTCCATTCTTTGGCAAACATTGAGGCTTGAATCTTTATTAATTAACGAGGCACTGGTGGATTAAACGTAAAAATAGAGAGCTGGTCGCGCAAATTCGCGTTGTACGTAGGTAAAGGTAATACGCGCGCTTCGTTTTAAATTCAGCAGCAGTGACTCTTATTTGTACGCGTCATCGTGTTGTTAATGCTTACGAAATCAAAAATAAAACCACATGTATATATATACACATCCACTTGAGGTGCTCTCTATTCATCTCTCACGGAAGATGTGCGAGTATACTCCTCTCTCTCTCTCTCTCTCTCTCTCTGTGACTGCGTTGAGTGTTGTGTTCGTGGAAACGTATTTACGAATTTCCAGTCGTTGTGTGTCGCACGTGTGTACATTTGTAGGTAGATATTGTGTGCTCCAAGGGACAATATGTGATTCAAGATCGACGGGCACGGGAGAGAAACGCGTGTTTGCTAACGTTATGTGTATATCTCTTTCGAGAAGCTATACCTAATACACAACTGTCTCGAGGTTTTTCGAGGGAAGGTCATGAAGAGAAAGAGGAGAAAAAAAGGGCGATAGCTAAACCATAAGGTTGAGATTCCTCCTGTTCTTTGTGTCATATCTCTGATAGATGGGTATGTAATTTTTGAGAAAACCAAGGGAACGATGAGTTGTTTTTTCTTTTCCAAAATTTAAATCTAAAGGTGAATTTTGTCAGACTTTATTCTGCTTGAGCAAGCCTTGTATACACGCTTCTGCAGGGAGGAGGGCGACCCTAGCAACTTTTACGCAAAAGCTAAAATCCACAATACAAAAAAAATAATTACACACACACACACACGGTGACGATCAGTGTCCTGCATTTGCGGTATTTATACCATCACTGGAGCGTCTTTTTGCCTCCCCCCCCGGCCTTCTACCTGTATTCTTCTCTCTTCGCGCCATCGTTTCACTGTTTCCTGCCGTTAATCACAGGGAAGAGAATAATCCAGCAGAGCAATGCAGGTATTGTCGTCGTCGCGGTAGAAAAAAAAAAAATTAGCGCTCTTACGAGTCTGTGATTAGCGCGACAGCAGTTGCGCAAAGTATTTTTGTTGCCACGAGGGAGATTTTCGTGGAGGAAAAAACGCCTGGATCGTGACTTTTTTTTTTTTTTTTTTTTTTTTCAAACGAGTGTCGATAGGAGCGTTTGAACGTATTTCAAAAACGCCAAATTTTAGATATTTTTGTCGTTCGGACGCTGAAAACCGAGATAAAAAAAAATGCCTTGCGGTCGCGGTAAGCATATTTTTCTATATCGCTGTCGCATTCGCGTTTCGTTTCCATCCGTGAAGTTGGATTTTTTTTTTTTTAACTTTTTTCTGCCATTTAAAGGCAAATCATTCGGGTTTGTTTTTATTTGAAAATTCACATGATGTGATGGGTATACGTTCGTAAATAAATGTACACATTGGCAGTTAAAACGGACCTCTCACGATTCAAGACCATCACGAGCTGGGAGTTTCACAATGACTGTTCAATAGTTAACGAGCGCGCGTGACTCCTTATGACGTAAAATTTGCAAAAATAAATAAATAAATAAAAAAAAGAGCGAAAATCGTGTCAAGCGCACAAAACCAAACTCGCATGCGCTCCGGTGGAAAAAATCGAAGAACCTCGTCGCGGTCGTACACGGGTGTGCAACGAGCGTCTTGAGAAAAAAAATCCAAGAAGAAGTCGTAAGAATAATGGAACGGAGCAGCGCACAATCGGCCGAGATAATAACAAAATAACGGAGAGCAAGGCGGAGGCGCGGGGGCACGAAAGAGGTAAAAAAAAAATGGGTCAAGCTTCTTTGCCATTATATTTATTATGTACGTATAGTATAGGTACGTACGCGAGTTGCTGCTGCTGTCGTTCGACGAAACGAGATCTTCACTGCGGCAAATCCACTCACTTATCCGACTTGTATTATTAGGAGTGTGCACTCGGGCTTTAGTAAAAAAAAAATAAATAAAATAAAAAAAAAAATTACATAAACCTGTTGCAGCGAAGCGTACACGCACAATATTACTATTGAACAGTGAGAATATGACGAATCATCGTCACTTGTCGAACAATCGAAAACACACGCGCACACGAGTACTTAGTTAAACAAACGCGAGAGAGAGCGAATCTCGAGCGATAAGCGCTCCGTCATCATCGATTCGCTCTTGCTCCGGAAACTCGCAAAACTGATATAAACAAGTATATTCGTGATGCTAATAATAAAGTAAGTGTATTGACTAAAGTTTTCAATAGTGATGTCTTCGCGCAGTCTGTGAGCACAACGGCGATGCTCGTTCGTCACTGACCCAAAGTACAGACTAATCTATCTCAGCAGAGAGTCATCGAGCAGACCTATGAATTAATATGCGTTTTCTTTCCCATGGGTAATTATCGATAGAAGAGAAATCCGCGTAAGTACGCACGAGTTCTGTGACTAATGGGCCAACCTCCCCTCAAAACGAGATAATGGTGCTCGTTTCGTGAAAAAGATTATGAGCACCGGATACGCGGTGGCTGTCATGGTTATATATACATTTATTTGATATACTTGGTGAAAGTAAGGGGTTTTTACCTTTCATGGAAAAATCCATGCCGATCTTCGGCAAAGGAGCCACGACGCAGATCTCACTCATTCGATCGTCGTCAATTAACCGCTGATGCTGATCCGACGACGTTGGTTAATGTTAGGGTCAACTCCTGCATCCCTCGCCACTGAATGTCACTGTGTACCCCGCGTTTTTTCTGTGTGTGTATGTGTGTGGTATTATTCACTTAACAACCGGTTAGCCTTTGATGGCGTGTATGTATCGCGGCACAACCGTCGAGCACAAGTTGTTTTTCGTGTGATGAGTAAGCAAAACAAAACAAAAAAAAAAAAAAAAAAAAAAAAACAATCACAGTATCTCGATCACAATTATTCAGGTATCTCTCGATGTCTTTGCTCGAGAGAGCAAGTCCTTCGTACTGATGATACAAATGAACCAACACGCGTAAACTAACAAATGACTAGCTGCGTCTACAAGTATAATAGTTTAACACGCACACACGCACGCACCAGTGTCGCGTTTACATAGAGCGAGAGATCCAAAATGCACTCGCGGAAAGTGAGATAAGAACGGGGCAACGTTGTTGTTTTTTTTTTTACTCTCTCGTTGCTCGAAATTTCGGAGTAGGCGCCTGCACAGACTCCAGGTGCGCACAACGCGTCTCGACTGTCCGGCTCTCGGCGGAGAAGTGAGGAGAAGATCCGTAGGGACTAGGGACCATACGTACAACACACAATATGGTCTGCCTGGCTCTCTCCGACTCCTCTGTTCTTCCCCCGCGTGTCGCCCCCCACTCAAACGCTCTCGCTCTCTTTTTTTTTTTTTTCCTGCCGTGAGAGGAGAGTCTCTCTCTCTCTCGGCTGCTGATTGTGTGCACAGCTCAGCCCAGCCTTCCTCTCCTATACCTGCGCAGTTGGGCGCGCGAGAGAAGAGCCGACGACTATATGGATGGATGAGCGAGAGAGCTGAATATCACCCCGCAGGTATACACGTAAAGTCAGCACGTGTGTGTACATGTATATACATGTGTGACGGAAGAGTGCGAGAGGGAAGGGGAAGGGCATCGGAGAGTAGATCGTCGAAGGGGAAAAGAGTGTCCGTTCCCCCACCACCACTCTTCTCGGTTGCTATATATTATATACTACTGTCTCTGTTATCTGCTGCGTTGATGGGTGCTCTTTTGAGGACGCTTTTTTTAAATTTTTTTGTTTTTTTGACGTTTTTGCTTCGCGGTTTTTACTTCTTGTTCCTGCAGATGATGATCTCTCTCTCTCTCTCTCTCTGTGTCCCTCCTTATCCCTACGAGTGCAGCATATATCGAGGTGTGCATGTCAATTCGTCTTTTCATCAGGGACAGTGCGACTTATAAGTACGACTCGTACCGGGCGCACACAATAGGTATATACACACGTGTATACGTATATTAGAAAATTCTTATCGGAAAATTTGAATGCACAGCAGTTGTGTATGAAATTGGTAAGTAGGTACTCAGGAAAGCTCTTTACGAAAACAACTGTAATTAGAGGGAGAGAGAGAAAGTCATAATCTATTATTAAGGATTTTACAGAGATAACCGAAATTCTTACTAATTTCATTAAATTTTGAGTGACTAATAAAGCTAACATGGAGATTAAAATTGTTAAACAAATTTAAAAATACATGAATATGTTACAATTTAGAGGCTGAAAAGCACTATTTTCTAGTAGTTAAAAAAAAAACTAGATTTTAAAACTTGACGACAAAGATCATGATGTTATTGCAAACAGTATTTTCGGATTTTTTTTTTTATCAACATTAGTATTGATTAGATGTATACACAAAATACATCGCGTTTTGTACTCATTATTGTTAATCTATTCGAATGTTCTGGTGGTACATTTTTGATAAATTTAATTCAAAGACGCGGAGACGGTCAATTTTCAACTCTCGATCCAACACTTTCCAAAAGTCATGTCGTAACGTATTGACGCTTTATTTTAACACTTTCTAATTGCGTTATCACCGCGACTTCGTACTTGAAGGCTCAAGTACTTCATAAGAAATCATTTGTGATTTTTCTTTTGTAGCGCATTTTCAATTTGCGGTAAAGCAACGCATTATAACTTTCGAACGAAACGTTGTTTCTCTTGACTTGCCCATTAGCATCCGTTAGACGGACGATGTATAACGAAAAGCGAAATCAACGATTCTCAAAACACTCAGTGGTGAAGAAAAGAAAAGTAATTACGGAAGTTATCAAGTTTTCGAGTAACACGGTAATTTCCAACGACACTTACGCATCTTACGAAACGACCCAAAAAGACCCAAACGGAGCTGGAAAAGAACTTAGCTTTAATCCCTCCAATTGCAGCGTCGCCTTGTTATTGTATTTTCTCGGTAGAGGAGAAAACAATAGCGTCACCAGCATCAACCGCGTCGAAGGTACAAAGTATTTTAAGCACACGTTAAAGGGCGAGAAAACAAAATCTCACGAGCAATAAAACCCAAAATATATGCATACATTTGTATCGGGGAGAAACAAAGGGCGCGGGCATCTGAAAATCCGATCTCGCACGTCCCATCCCCCCGTTGTCTATATCTCTTTCACTCTTCTTTCAAAAGACAAAACGTTACTTCCACGCAACGTCCAGACACATCTAAGTAATGCACAGTGAAAAGGTACCTATGGTGGTCGGACGGATTAACAGGACACTCTATACGCCAGATAGCTTGTACTTATACTTGTGTAAGTATACATATAATGTTTTGTGTAGGTACCATCTCGGGTACCATCCATAAATGCAAATAGGAGGGGGGCCCCCCGAGCTTCGTCGCGTCTATATATAGGTAGTATATAGGTAGTATACTACCTGACGCTCACGTGTAGTGCCGTTTCGCTGTAGGTATATATATATGTGTGTATATGTATATACTGTGATGCTACACCAAGGTAAATAATATACCGGGGAGGGATGTCATGTGTATCCTCGCATATTAATTGGCATCACTGACCTGCGATAGACAGAGATATGCAGGGGAGAGATGCGAGAGGAAAAGGGGGCCACGCGCGGGGATAACTTCTCCAAAGGTCCATTCCCCCCCGTATTTTCAAGCTTTTTATGCTTTTTCTGATCGTCGGACGGGACAAAGGGAAGCGCTCGGACGGGCCCTTTTTCTTCGGGCGCCTTCCTATATATGCGTACACACGGAGGACTGGCATCAAAGGCCGCAAGAGTTATATGCTGTACTGCCGATTTTTTGTTGCGCTCTCGCGATACGGATGCATACGCTTTCTTTCTCTTGACCGTCATTAAGGACCATTGGCCATTGTTGAGACCAGAGAGGGAGAGAAAGAGATTTTTGAAAGTTTTTTTTTTTTTTTTTTTTTTTTTTTTGAAGGGAACAAGGGGCGCACAATTAGGGATCCGCGCGAAGCGGCTTGACTTTTAACCGTTGACTTTCTCTTTTCCTTGCAGCTATACGGGAGCTTACGAGGGATAAGTCGAGAGAATTGAGGGATTGTTGCCATGTACCCAGTGTACCTACGGAGGAAATTGTCCGCTGACATTGGGAGTTGGAAGTTTAATGATGCGGCGGAACAATGTAGGCAACAAAAATGGCACTGCTACCTATACCGACAAAGGTTGCGCGATGACGATGTGTGTATATCTACAATAAGGACTTTATTCGCTGACTATCGTTGACACTCGAGGTATATTTGTAAATTACCAATCATTGACGAGGTATGATTAAACATTTGTTGAAACCAAGTACTTATCTGATATTGTTGTTTTTTGGGGTATTTGTGGAACGAAAACCATGTCAGGGCAGAACATTTGGAAAATTACTTGTTATTGATTAGTGAATTTTAAAATTGATATCAAAAAAGTATGGATCGTATTGAATTCGGCCCATGACAAAATATACACGAATAAGAGTGAAATTCATCATCCCGTATTATCTCATGAGCTACAACAAAGTGCATGATAAAGTTCGATATAGCTACTGCCACATTTAATGTGAAAGCGAATGCATAGTTCATTAAGTTTGGTCCTTTTTATGCCCCAGCGGCTGGAATGTGAATACATTCGAACAGGAATCTTCATTTTCCGTGCCACTGTCGAGAAAGTGAGTTCCTACACCGATCGATTTGATACATTATAATTCCTACTTGATTATGTTCAGAAATGTAGTCTGTCATTTTTTAATGATCATTAACGATCAAATGAACATCAATGAGAAGCCATTGTTAGGTGCACTTGCGCATCTCATCCAAAGTATGGTCGGTGAGAGAGCACGTTTCGTTACTAAATTAAAAAATATGCTGTGGAAATGACGTGAGCTTGAGCGTCGGTTTACAGAAGAAAAAGGGCACAGGTGCACTATTAAGTACAACACACGTGGGACAATTCTTTATTGTGTTATGTGTGAAGCAGAGGGATATAATCCCTACACAGGTATATTGATGCGAGGATTGCAGTCAACCGGTTTTCACCCGGGGGATGGTAGCTGTACCTTCGAGAGCTTTACCAACGATTACTGTACAATCGAAGTGCATTGAACTTGACCATCACCATATTCATTTAGTTAAGACTAGTGATACTTCTGTATTGTAGCACATGAACCAAACTGGTGCCTATCTATGTATGTTATACAGCCAACTCGAAAAGTGTACATGTAACAAAGATGTTCGATCGCCTCCATCTTTACGGAATGAGAGTGGTTCAACAAAATGGCTTTTTTATGATTAACTGATTCACTAGCGTAAAGTCGTTACGAAATAAATATAACACTCGTAGCCAATTTCTTTCTTTTTTTCCTTAGGTCGAGCGTATGGATTGAAATTGATGCAGAGAGGAATTTCGAATAAAGTGCGTTCTTATCTATATATGAACAAAAAATTTTAATGGGCTATGCATAAGGAATTTTAGTTGAAAATAATCATGAACATCTACATTGCAAAGAATTCATAAAAAAATTTCAACAGCGAAAAGACTCTTTTTTGTAAAATTGTTCTGTTTTATCGATTCACAGAACAATACGCATGGAAATACAAAAAAGTCGCTACCTTCAAAAAAAAATCAACCATTTCGACAATTTTAAAATAAAGTTTGCAATGTTTCTATAAACTGGAAGGGCCGAAAAAGTTCAAGAGCAAATTATTACTTACAAAGTTTAAGATTCCGCTTTCCGTCGATAAACGTCCAGGAGTAGAAAGCAGAAGACGCATCAGAAGATAACTTAACACGAGTGTGGCACTAAATTATCAAAGCAAACTTGATTTTCGACAAAATCCCTACAACGGCCACTTATTAAGGGCACCACTGCATTGTCTCTCG